CTCCTGGTATCACTACTCTCACCACTGGTCAGGAGGGGTTCATCTGTCCTGGATTCCCTGTCATCTCTGAAAAAAGTAGAGGGATAAAAATATAAAGATGAGAACAAAATTTTATGAAAAGTAAAATAGTGCAATGTAAAGAAAATCCAATAGGTTCTTTGACAAAAATCAGCTCCTACTATGTAATACTACTCTATGCTCACCCCAAACAAATGGACACTCCTGCAAGAGTGATTACTCAAAGCTTACTTGAAAACCCAAGTCAAGAGGCTGCAAGGTGGAGACCATGTCTGTCCCAGAGAAGGTAACTACACTTTAGTCGCTGGGTAAACCAGGTGGAGCCTCATGCCATTGGAAAAAATGCTCAACATCAAGTATATAGGCCACCAATGGGAGAATAAACTCATATCATGTACCTAATTGGACACTTTTGATCTAATTTTTATTCAACCCTTGGTGGCCCAGGCCATGTACTATAGACAACCAGGACTTTAGACTCTGGCCTCTTGAGGTACACAACATCCCTCATAGATTATATGAGAAGGATTGTATTTGAAACTCTAAGCAAATTGGACTTTATCTTAAAGACACTGGGAGCAGATTCAAGAAACTACAACACTCCCATATTAAAAAGGCTGAAATGACTCTTTGCCTTTGTGAAAGAGCATTAATAAAATGTTTGCCCTATCGCTAACCCTCAATGGTAATGTAGTGTCTAGTCACCTAAATTGTTAATCTGTACAAATCAGCAATCAATGAATTTTAGTATAAGAAACTGCCCAATACATGTATATTTTCTTTTTTTCTCAACAGTGTTTCAAATTCTGAACCAGTGACTAAATTAATCGTAATATTAATAAATCAATGGTAATATTAATAGACTTGCCATACTCCTCATGTGAATAATTTATAATGTCCTTCAATGAAATAGTAATGCTTTCTTGAAAGTGAACCAGGGATATATATAAACCATATATATATATATATATATATATATATATATATATATATGGATTTTAAGCTCACACTTAATCATAGCCCCAATTTAAGAACAATTTGTTCTTAAGACATGGCCCTGCTCAATATCTACCCCCATGAAGTGATCACTGAAGTTATGGGTGCTATAGCAAAGTGTGGCAAAGAAAGAAGATGGTGCCCAGCTATCAGAAAAGAATAGTGTCTGGGGTCTTAAAGGTTTATTTTGGGTGGGGGGGGGTGTCTGTTTGTTTGGTTGCTGGTTGGTTTACGGCTGCTATTGATGCAGTTGGTCTTATAGGGCTGTGATTTTGTCATCTGATGACCACCAAAGTAAAACTGAGATGTGCAAACCCCGTGGACAAGCAGATGGATTCTGGTCTCCTATTTAACCCAAATCAAGAACAGTTCATTCTGATAGTACGGCCCTGCTCTCTACTCACCTTCATGAAAGGGTCACTGAAAATAAGGGTGCTGCAGCAAGGTGTGGTGAAGAAAGTAGATAATTTCCGGCTAGCAATCAGAATAGAGTCTGGAGTCTTAAAGGTTTGTATTCAAACAAGCAGCCATTTAAGCAAGGAGTAAACTAAGCCCACATGGAAGAACCACACCAGCTTTATGTGATCCAAAGATGACAATGAAAATGTTGAATATGGTGAAGGGAAAAGTATCAGAGCTAAAATTATGAATTTTAGGCAATTTGTAGAAGGCTATGAAAGACAGTGAGAGCCAAAACCCATCTGCAGAATATCTAGTCAGACTGAGCCACTGGCAGACCCCTCTAGCCACAGGTCAGGCAGAGACCACTGTAATCTTGAATATGCTGACTCGAACTGGATGCTAGGCCAATAACCTCCCTACAGACCCAATCTGAATTGGTTCTGGGTGCAAGTAGCTCTGACTTGTTCCAGGACAGAAATTTCTTCCTTGGCTTTTGGAATGTTGATGCAGATCTTTTCCTTCTTACTCATTATTTGTAGTTTGGTCTTTATATCATTATTGTTTTGCCCTTACCACCTTAACTTCTCTTTTGGTTTTTGTTGCTTCTGTTGGGTTTCCCAGTGCGCGATACACAGGAGGTGTGAATTCACAATAAGGGATATAGGGGTTGATAGGGGATGCAAGGTGGGAGTGAGTGACAGGGAGGGGGAAGGGATGTCAGGAACAGGAATTGAAGGCAGGAAGGGGTAGGCAGCACTAGGGCTGACTGTGATTACACAATTCATTTTAAGGTAATTTAACCATGGGGGTGGGCGTTCTAAAATTGATACGGTAGTAATTGTACAATTCTCCTTGATATGATTGAACGATTGAACTATTGAATTGTATGATATGTAAATTCTGTGCCAATAAAACTGTTATTTTTTAAAAGGATAATCGTATCAATATTGAATCTACCGAATGAAGTTAAAAAAAAAAATCTACCTAGAAAGAAAACTCATGGAAATTTCCAAACAAAAAACGGGAGTTTATCAGGAGACAAGATGAGGAAGCTAACAAGTTTATCCAGTGACTATAATTTAGGTTGTGTACTCATGCACGGGGGTTTTAAGGATGAATGGAAATAACAGGCATGCAAAAAACATTTTCATGACTTGCAAATTTTCTGCTTATTAAAATGTGAATTCCTGAGTGGGGAACAAAAAAAGCAGCTATCTAAGTGAGGCATTGACTAAGGCCACACAAAAGAAGCACACCAGCTTGTGTGATCCCAGAATTATAAACAATAAAATCCAGACCTGGGGAGGGAATGGTATTAGAGCTTAAACTCTGAACACCTGGTTTTCAGAAGGCTGAGGATGATAAAGCACAAAGCCCCTTGCCAGAGTTCCTCATGCAGATGAAGCCACTGGTAAATCCCCTCTGACTGTGGACCCGAAGTGGGAAAAACCTTCCTACCAGAGTACACTGCAGGGTGGATTCCTGCCATTGTAGTTCGGTCCAAATGTGCCGTCTGGTCAGTGATCTCCCTCTGGACCCAATGTAGAATTGCTCCGGGTTTTAATATTTTCTGCTTTGTTATCCATTGAGGTTTTTCTCTGCTCCATGGTATCATTGTTGTTGGGCTGTTTGTTTGTCTCCTCTCCTGGTTGGTCTGCGTTTCTGTATGTGAAACCCAGATTAGGTAAATCTAGAGAGACCACAACTGGGTCAGTAGATCCGAAGGAACATGGCAGGGGAGGCTGGCAGGGGCCAACAACAAGGAGGAACCCGAGGAAGAAGACATGGCCTGGAATTGATTGTAGTGGTGGTGGCACAACTCCTGTGAATGTGATTGAACTGTTGAGATGTATCATGTGTGACTTGTATGTTCTCATTGTTCAATTTAAAACAGTATTTTTCAAACCATTTTATTTGGGCTCGTACAACTCTTATCACAAGCCATCCATACATCCATTGTGTCAAGCACATTTGGGCATTTGTTGCTATCATCATTCTCAAAACATTTTCGTTCTACCTGAGCCTTGGTATCAGCTCATTTTCCCCCCTCCTGCTCCTACTCTCCCTCCCTCTCTCACGAACTATTGATAATTTATAACTTATTATTTTGTCATGTCTTACACTGTCCGATGTTTCCCTTCACCCACTTTTCTGTTGTCCGTCCCCCAGGGAGGGGGTTATATGTAGATCATTGTGATTGGTTCCCCTTTCTCCCCACTTTCCCCTTACCCTCCTGGTTATCTCTACTCTCGTTATTGGTCCTGAGGGGGTTATCTGTCCTGGATTCCCTGTGTTTCCAGCTCTGATCTGTACTAGTGTACATCCTCTGGTGTAGCCGGATTTGTAAGGTAGAATTGAGATCATGAAAGTGGGTGGGCAGGAAGCATTAAAGAACTAGAGGAAAGCTGTATGCTTCATCGATGCTATACTATACCCTGACTGGCAAAGAGTACTTTTTTAAAAGTTGGTTCTTTGAAAAAGCTAAAACCAAATTGGTATCTCTCTAGTTATGTTCATGACCCAAGAGCGTTTGGAAGGATTGATATCTCTCTAGTTATGTTCATGACCCAAGAGTGTTTGGAAGGAAAAAAGGGACATAATTATAGAGACTAAAGACACTTAAAAGATACATCATGAAAATTTGTATCTCAGGAAATTTGAATATCTAGACAAAACAAATATGAGAAGAAGAAAAAAAACTCACTTGTCACAGTTCAGGTCAAACACCAGCTGTGCAGGCAGCCCTTCTTGCTCTGACGCTCACTACCTGGAGCTAGACCTGTGCTCACAGATAAAGAGTTCCATCCTCCAAACCCCCAATCTGTTCAAGACTCCAGACAAGCTCACAAGGCCCCATGACACTGCAAGTCTGACCTGCAGGCTGGAAGTTCTAGGTTTCTCCTCTCTCCCTTCAGGATGCCAGCTTGTGGGGAATCCTTTGCCCTCACTTCTGACCCACTGGCTAACCATCCAGGAGTTCCTTGTAGCCTCTTAGGACACCAACTTTGGGAGTTTCTAGGGCCCTCTCCTGATCTTCTGGCTCTAATGGGTTTGATAGAAGTCATGCAAAGTGCTGTACTTACCATCCCAGCTTTCTTTGAAAGCACACCATGCAGAGCAACAGAAAGCAGACACGGATCCAGGTGGGTGGAGGCCCTCCACGCAAAACTCCCATGTCCCAGGGACGACGACAGAACACACCCCAGATTAGATGCTTTTGACCACCAGGAAGCTCCGGGAGGCTCACTGCGCTGAGCTTTCTACTGGGGGTCTGCGTGTGTTACCTCATTAAGGAGAAAAGCGGGTTCCTCTGAGTCGGAGCGCAAACGTGTCCCAGATTTCCAACTTCGCCCAGCTGCTGCGCCTCTTCATCACCTCTGGCAGCCACCCTCCCGCCCTTCGGAACCTTTCCTCCTCTCTGCTGGGGGTGGTGATTAGCGCAACAGCTGAGAGGATTCCTGAACTGTACTTACAGTTAGGAAGTTCATTAGGGAAATCACATGGGATCGGGATTCACTTGGAAGGAAGACAGAGTCAACATCTGGAAGCACACAGGCAAGGTCGGGAAGGCTCCCCTCTTTGGTGTAGAAAAGCTCTCTCTCTCTCTCTCTCTCTCTCTCTCTCTCTCTCTCTCTCTCTCTCACACACACACACACACACACACACACACACACACACACGTGTTCCCTCAGGGCAGGCTTAGTCTTGGTTGTGCACAACCTCTCCTGGTCATGTATACCACAGGGATGGGACAGGGACAAACTTCCAGAATCGCTCTCTCTGGAAGGGTTAGAGATAGAAGTACAATGAACCCTTGCCACTTCGCGCTTTGACTTCCGCGGCTTCACTCTATCGCAGTTTTTGCGTAACAGCGCATGCTCTGTCATTACTGCCACTGATTGGCTCATACTGTACACGCCTGATGCCATAAATAATATAATAAATAATAAATGATCATTGTAACGTCCAAAATGTTTTACTGTATTTTCCCTTTTTCGTTTAATAAATTGGGTAATACGAGTGTAATGGTGACTAAAGGGTGTTTTTTCATGTCCTCTATGCTCTAACTACGAAAATATTTGATTTACAAATAAGGAATCCTACTTCGCGGAATTTAATTTATCACGGTAGGGTCTAGAACCGATTAACCGCGATAAACGAGGGTTCACTGTACTACCTTTACAAGTGTGTAATCCTAGACAGAGGTTATGTCAAGAAACTATTTTCTGGAGAAGGGAGGGGGATAAAAGGGGAGCTTATATCAAGGGCTCAAGCAGAAAATGTCTTGGAAATGATGATGGCAATATATATACAAATATGCTTGATACAATTGATGTATGGAATGTTATAAGAGCTGTAAGAGCCCCCAATAAAATGATGGGGGGTGGGGAGAAGAAACAATAGTTTCACATTTTCACATTTTTGTTTAATAAAGGTTACCATGATTTTGTGCTAATATTATTATTAACTCACTCCCATATTTGCACGCTGTGGTTGGGTGCCACAGAGTTGGTCCCAACTCACAGTGGCCCAACTGACCAGGAAACACAGCCCGCGGGACCCTTGCCCTCTCACAACCACTGTGATGTTGGACCTCATTGCTGCAGCCATTGTGTCCGTCCGTCTGGTGTGAGTCCCTGTGTCCATTCTCATGTGTGCTGATCCTCTTCTTTTGCATAAGGACCGATCTTTCTTTCAGGGAGGGACTGGCTTCTTTGCTAGGCAACTGTAACAAGGCAATTCCTCGGGGTCCAGAGGGGGGAAAAAATCTCCCAAGCTGGTTTCTCTTTTCTCTTTCTCACAGAACCAAGACAAAAGAATGCCTGTCCTTACAGAGTCTCACTATGCAAGGCTATCTCAACCCCTCCCCCCTGAGGTCAGTTGATAGCCACGTTCGTCTAGATAAAAAATCTGGATAAGTAAAATACCCAGGACAGGAAGATTCATTGTAAAGATGTCAAGTTGCCACAAATGTATTTATAAATCAAATAAACTCCACGCAATTCCACAATTACAATCATAAGCCCACTAAATTGACAATTTTCTTCTAGAATTTATATGGAAATATTCACGATCAAGCTACTGCCACCAAGATGGATCTAACTCATAGCAACCCTACACAGGACCAAGTACAACTCTGTCAATTGGAGTCTCACAGGGGTCCTCAAACTACGGCCCACGGGCCACATGCGGCCCGCTGAGGACATTTATCCAGCCCACCAAGTGTTTTTGCCCCATTTATTTTTTTACTTCAACATAAGATATGTGCAGTGTGCATAGGGATTTGTTCATAGTTTTTTTTTAAAACTATAGTCCAGCCCTCCAACGGGTCTGAGGGACAGTGAACTGGCCCCCTGTTTAAAAGTTTGAAGACCCCCCCAGGTGCAGATTGCTCGCTTGGGTCCTCAATGCTGTAATCAGACACAGACTGCACATCTGACCGTGAAACTAGCAGGTGTGAAGCATTGAGTATTAATAGCCAGCTTGAACTCCTTAACCACTGCCTCACCAGAGCTCCTTTTAGGGAAATACAAAGACTTAAAACAGCCAAAGCAATCTCACAAAAGAACAAGGTTGGAAAAAAAAAAACAACAGGTCGGAAGGCTTGCATTACCTTGCTGCAAAACTTCTTGTAAAGTTACAGTAGTAAAGAAAGTGTGGTAAAAGATTGAGAAAAAAAAAAAGGTAGACTAGAATTGAGAGCCATTTCTCATCATTTCAACAAAAGGTGCTGGGGAAAATAAAAGGATATTTGTATGGGGTAGGAATTGTGATGGCATAACGGTTACTTGGTGGGCTGCTAACCACAAGGTCGGCAGTTCTAAACCAGCAGTCATTCCGAGGAAGAAAACGAGGCTTTTGACTCCTATAAACAGTTACAGTCTCAGAAAACCAAGGGGCGGTTCTATCCTATTTTACAGGGTCTCCATGAGGTGGAATCAACTCTACAGCCGTGAGTTTGCTTTGGTTTTTATAAGTTGGGATACAAGAAGAGCTTTGGCCTTGTTCAGAAATTAATTCAAGAGAAGTTACAGGTCTAAACTTTAACACTAACATTTTCAAGAGAAAACAGGTTCATATCAACTATGTACCAATCACCTCCAAACCAGACTAAGGCATTACTCAAGAAATCCCTTTGATGTAGGCGATGGAGAGGCCTGAGATAGCTCGCTGTTAAACAAAATACTAGAACTATAACATCACTTAAGATTTCGTATGTTGTAAATTCAAAATGTAACAGCCCCTCCTTTGCAGTAAAAATTCCTCTTAAGCTTAATCAGAAGGAATGTTCAAACACAGGAAGGCTGTGCAGCCAGGCCATTAAGACAAGCAATCAGGCTTGAAGCACGCCCCGCGGAGAGAAATAATGGAGCTTGAGGCTTTAAGAGAAAGAGGTCTTTAGGAGATTGAGGAAATGCAGGCATCAAATGTTACCTGTGAATATTTCAAAGCCTGCTTTTTGTCACATTGTTTGGAGTATTAATTGTTTCCTATCATCATTGTAAAAAGCTGCTAATCATTTCATGTGATTATAACATAACCTGCTTTTTGTCACATAGAGTATGTAACGTGTTTGTCACGGATTTCTGAAGCAGGTTCGAGGTAGCAAACCCCACTGTTCCCCTCTGTATTGTGCTTCCACATAAACTTAGAGTTTCTCCAATCAGCATGGTCTCTGGCCGAAACACAGACGGGCAATCCTGGACTTTTGATCATGGCAACACAAGGACACAGAGACACACCTCTCTATAATCGTGAAGGGTTCACCATCACTGCTGCCACCCCAATACGCAGCCCAGCTTCCTGGGTGCTCCTCCTGTCCTGCCGTTCTTTAAGCCCAAGCTCTGGGACTTTTTGTTACATCTCTTTCCCCTTAATACTGACCGCTGGTCTATTTAGATAAGATAAGCAAGATAAATAATCTGGAGGAGAAAACAATTGGACCTGGGAGAATGGGAGGGGGTGGTGAGGGGAGAAAGTGTGTATTAACAAACCCAGGAACAGGGGAACAATAATTGATCTGAAATTGATAGTGAGGAGGGTACAAGAGGCCTGGTAGGGCTTGATCAAGAGGAAATACTGAAACCCAAATGAAGGCTGAACATGATAGTGGGACAAGAG